AAAAAAACCAACTTCAACACAAAGTTTTTCCAATAATTATCTGACAATTGTCCATTCAAATGTTAGGGTTATTTTGTTTAAAGAATGCAATGTGGTATAATTAAAAAATGTCAGACTTAATAAAAGTTGTTTATGGTCGAACAACTAAAGTAGTACAGGATTTACAGAGAAAATACAATTAGAACTTGTTTGCTTTCTTTTTCCGTGTATTTATAACGACAGATTTATCAGCAAAAATTATGAACATCATCAACTCTTGTCCAATAAATATTTAATTTGGAACTATAACTTAAAACAAATCAGATGCATAATGACCAAAAAGAGGGAATGAAACGCTAGTAACTCAGCCTCCTAGTTCGCTTAGATATATACACATGGTATTAACGCATAATTGTATATATTTCTATATTTGGCGTTTAATATAAATACTTTTACAACTTGGCAAGTGTAGTAAGATAATGACTTGATTTTCTTTATATTGTTACAAAAAATTGCATCTTATGAGAATTAGTCCATTTCGTTATGATTTGTGTAGAACAATTTGATTTTATAAACTAGGTCAAGCGTCGTGTGTAAAAAAATACCGCGTTCATGAACCAAAACCAATACCACTATTCGGTACAATACAACATTAAAATGTATGCTATACCTGAGTGTTGGTAAAAGTCAAGAAAGGTGTAATAACTGTCCTCTGAATTCGAAGAGCTTGAGTCTGAGCTGCCTGACATTGTACAAGACTGCCACGTACGGAAAAGCAATGTCTATAAATAACCCAGTGGGATTACCTAAACACCTACTAGCATTAATGTAATGCTTAACAATTGTTAAGTATAGCCATAACTTCCGAGAACTACCAGTGAGACAAAAATAGCACCTATGTCATTTTTGTTCGTTTGCCAATATTATATTGAAATCTGTATGGCATGATACTAAATAAAACCCTACACAATGGCCTTCTTACTAGTCTGTTTCAGCATTGGACACCATATATAATAGGTTTATAATAACAGGTCTTACTAAAACAGCACGTCCACAAGTTTTGCAAATGGTTTGTATAGTTAGCATGATTTCCAAGAAACTAAATTTAAATAGTATAAGGTTTCTGTAAAAATTGCGTTTCTGGCCTTTCAGTTTTTCATAACTCAGTGTTATGATAATGAACAAATTAACTATATAAAGAGCTTCCACAATACAAATTGATATAAGTGTAGTTAACTAAGATGTTTCTTCTTAGTACCATCACCCCTGTAAGTTATAATAAGAAATAAATCCACCTGCTGTTACCTACTGCATGTATCGTAAGAGGCGACTTATGTGGGAACCACTGCAGAATTAGGGATTTGCATTTGTGTCCTCTTTTTTCGGGGACACAACAGGGACCAAAATAAATCTCTTGCGCCCATTACAATATTTGGAATCTTCTCTTCTTCTCACTACATATAATTTCCTAGCGCCTTTCTTTCCAACACCTCACTTTTGGCTTTAATGTTGTATGTGTGCACAGATGAGGAAGGCATTTGTATGCTGTGCCCAGGCCAGGAAATACAGATGTCCTTATAACTGGTAAATGGTTCACCTATTATCAGTATGATGTGAACTGGGAAATGCTGTGCTGGGTGCCTTCGGCGTGGTATTTCAGTGAGATAGTACTATTAAGTCGACATCACAAGGAGGCAAATACACCTACATATCTTGTCTCCGACAAACATACACACCTGCACGCTTACACAACACACATGGAGGCACGACCTTAAATTACTTTAGCTGTCAATAGGACGTTAAACAATATAGAACCAAACCAAACCTTATTAGTTGTGTAGTTGGACACAGCAGCGAGAGATTACCAAGGACAGGCAGGGAGGCTCGAGGGCATATTCGTTCAGCCTGAGGTTGTAATCATAAAATTTACCCATTGTCTTCATCAACATGCAACTCTTGAAATCGTGAGTGGTAATGTATCAGTCAGTAGTCAGAGAAAGCTGTTGAATATCGAAACAACAACTGTGTGAACACCGTAGATTTGGGAAGTAGGAGCTGTTTGCCAGATATTTCTAACAAAAGAGTGTTTAGATTCATATTTTTTTCACGGATTCTACTTTCTTAGATATTCATATTTATATATTTCAAAGATATCCTTCAGGGTCCGTCTCAACCGCGAACTCGGTAATTGAATTTCTTCAATGCATTGATCTCTATCCTTTTAGCCTCGTCTTCCTTCGTCTCCTCTTCTCTTTCAGTTTTTGTTAAATCGTTTCTCAAACTTATTTCGTGGAATCCCTTTTCCCCTTAATTCGCTGATGTTCTTGAGGCGATATTTCTTTGATATATTGTTTGCTTCCGGTACCTTGTATTTGCCGTGATGGGATTTAAAGTACATGCAGAGAATATCTTCTGTATAATTTTAATGTCGACTGCTTTTTTCTCGGCAGCCACAGAGGATTTATTGTCTTGAAATCTAAAAATAACTAGGTTCCTCTCACGCCTCTTGCGTTCATTCATCTCAGTTATCACTGTGATATACGATCGACGTGGTTAATAAGTTTTAGTTTATTTAAAGGAAATCGTCCATTCATGGGAAAGTGAAATCAAAATATTTCACAACCTAGTTTGTAGGTCGTCTCAAAGTGGTTCACAAATTATTATCCGTTGTTATAGGGTCTTTGCAACCAGCCAATATCTTTCTCAACTCCCTGGGGAGCATACAGCCGATGGTGCCATTTCGGCACTCAAAGCTAGCTACAATTCAATCACTGCCCAACCACGTACTCATTTACAGCTGATTAGACTAAAACAAGAGGAGTAAAATACCGTCAATACACGAGGAACTTTATATGGAATCGAAATTACAACAAAAGGGACTGAGGAGACACCAAGAAACCTATTGAACGACATTAACACATAAAACTAATATGGAATCATGTGTTCATAAGGATACGCGTTTCTTAGACTCGTCGGTATATTTATCCTGTACACTCCAGGATCGTATGTAGGTCAACAACGATCTGTAGACATTCGGAAACTAGGTCATGGATACGAATGTAAAATTTCTTCAAAAGTAAAACATTACTGCTTTATCACTAAGTCATTTAGAACCTTATGAGAAGGTGACATGAAGTGGATTAGGATAAACATTGATATAGAGATGTTATATACGATGATATTACAGATCAAATAAACTAGCAGTACACCAACGAATCCGAATAATACCTGTAATAGGAGAAATGTATCATGATATCTGCATAACCGTCATGCGAAATAGACATCATCGACACATAATTATTTCTCACCAATTTTAAAAGTAGTTCATCGACTTGCCAAATGTAAAGTTTAAATAGAGCAGTGTATAAGGTGTTCGATGTCAGATGATACAGGGTAATACATAACACAACGTGAAATAATGCCAGGAACTACAACGAGGATATGGTGACCGACCCCGACCTTGTCATAACTCCGAGGTGGCACTTATGGAGTTGACGTTATTGTAGCCACTCACTCCGTCTATAGTTTGCACTCGTGAATGTTTCCCGGGGTCCTCACACACACAGCTGACGTGTATCTTGTGTCAGTGTCTACACCCTGCCTCCACCCTCCCGCCAGTCGAGAGGACCTCCAACTGTCCTACACACACAAAGAAACACTGGCACTACTACCTCGTCAGCCTTAGCTCTATCAGCATGGTGTCCTATTTAACAGGAGGAAATGATGATACCGACCCCAATTCCTGTGTATTAAAAATTTTATTAATCGATTCGTTACATCTAATTAAGTTGGACGCCCTTTGACTTTCTTATCGTTTATTTTATACATACACAAAATAGAAAACTGCCATATCATTCTTACCATCCTGACATTTAAATGACGAAAACATCCACTTTTTGACCTTAGTCAAGTTTTTTAATGCATACCTTATGTTTTCGACATTTCATTTACTATTTATGTAGTGTCCAACCCTGTTACCGAAATAATAACTTTACTGCACACGTTTGCTTTTGACTCATGTTTAGAGACACACCCTAGTGTTTAAATACATACCTTATGTTCGACTTTTAATTTAAGAATCATGCAGGGTCACCCTATGATAGCCAAAGTATACCGTATACAGCACATGATTTGTTTTCAATTTTTGTTGCCAAGATATCTTAACGAAATCCAAAACAATAATTTGGAGGAGTGATTCTTAAATATGAGATTTCGTCTACATAATCGATGACCAATGTTTGCGTAAAAGACAGGATTGTATTGGTTGAATTTGAAAGACAATGCACATTGTGATCAAAACGACAACATGTGTTGTTTTCCTCGAGGAGAATTAAACATTGTACGGAATGTGGTGAATTGTTATTATGTATGTAAAATATCAAAGTTGTTTACCTTTACGGAAATAACCAAACTAAGGGCCAAATGCCTGCAGACAGAAAGACAACGCCTTACCCATTCCGTGATCATTCACAATTAAGGATCGTAACATTGCCAACAAATGTAACTATGCATTAAACACGTTTTGGCATGACTATAGCCATATCAGTTCAAATATTGTTTAACAAAAAACATAAATCTTACAGAAGTAATATCATAAGAACTTCACCGTTACCTTAGACAAGAAAATAATTTAGAAAATACCACCGCGTCTGCACACAAAATACCACCGCGTCAGCACACAAAATACCAAAGCGTCAGCACATCACAAAATACCACAACGTCAGCACACTAATTCATTCGGGAGTCAATACGAAAAAATAACACATCAAACAAATGGAACACCAAACCAATGAGACACCAAACCAATAAGACACCATTCAAACCAATGAGACACCAAACTAATAAGACACCATTCAAACCAATGAGACACCAAACCAAAGCAAAAGTCACCATGAACCCACACAAAGTGTTATTGGTGAAACCACGCGCTACAAAGGAATAAACGTTGGCTGCACCACATGAAACATCCGCCATTATGTCTCCGTCAAATCATAGAAAGTACTAATGTCATCTGGAAAACCTGGACACCGAAAACAAGTGTAATCATACTGAACACTGAGCTACTATGGTTTCGGGTATTGACTGCGACAACACACCTTCGTTCATACATAGAGAAACCTTCGATAAAAACACTGGGTTCGTAGTTTAACAATGCGTAGTAACGGAGAACTCTGGTATGGTACATGTACTACCAATGAAAGAAAATATTTTTATATCGTGGAACAAAGAGTCGTAGCTCCCGAACAACACTATCATATTTGAATGCGAGGAAAGGGTCGGCAAGTCTCTATTTTCCATTTTATCCGTGTATAAGTTCATTTTATTTCAATTTGTTTAATACAACTTGTTTTTATTTAATTGTTTTAGAAATCCACTTTTGTGGCAATGCCAGATAACATACCGAGTGATACAGCAGACCTTGCAGGTCTTGCAACGGTGGTAACCAACTACTACCCTGAATTAGGCTGGGACATCGTGACGGGTGACAGATGTAGTACAGGAAACGCAGGTTCCAGTTGATGTCTCATTGTGGCTAGACTGGGTTTTGATTAGTGACATTGTGTGTTGATGCCGTACCATATTTTGAAGTTTACGTTATCCTTTAAAGCAGAACAATAGTTGTGTGTTGCTTTAATATTCTTGATGTGTTGGACACGTCGAACGTTATTTTCTGTGGCTATAGTTAGTGTTTATACCTCATACTTTCTAAAGCGAACATTAAAATCTGTATTCTAACGTGACAAATTAATTTACGAATTCAAATTATTCTATAGAATTTAATTCTATCTTCCAATTTATTTCGTGT